CGGGCCCTTTGCCGCCAGCCATAGGCGATGGCTGACCATAACCGACCTTCGCTTTCTTGGCGATAACACTGTCACTGCTCCTTCGCGTCCTCCTCTCCCTCCTCGCGGCGTTAAGAGATTGGATCTGTTCGAGATGCGAGACAACCTCTTTCATGTTTGGTCTGAGCTTAATTTCCGTGGATAGGCATCTCATGGCGAGAGTAGCCACCTTATGTGCTTCTTCCATGGAGTACTGATCTTGGAGCCGGTTGTCAATAACCCGGAATACCCTTCTTTTGTTTGCAAGGTATGGTTTCGCCCACTCGACGAGGTTGTGCTCTCCGGTTGGACGGTTCTTGTCCACAGCTCGCCGTCCAGACAACATCTCCAGAAGCACAACCCCGAAGCTATAGACATCGCTCTTTGTTGTCAAATGACCTGTGGAAAGTTTCAGATTCAGTAAGAAGAAGAAGAAGAAGAAGAAGAAACCGATGACAGAAATAATGATCTGAAACTAGTTTGGAACTGACCGGTGGCAAGATATTCAGGAGCTGCATATCCGTAGGTACCCATGACCCGTGTAGAGACGTGGCTTTTATCATCCGTTGGCCCGTCCTTGGCCAACCCGAAGTCAGAAAGCTTTGCATTGTAGTCCTGTGGCCATGTCGAAGACGGTTTTTTCATCATAAAGCTTGAAACTTTTGCGGTTTTTTCGTGAGAATCACGTCATTGATTGTGAAAAAGTTGAAATATACCGAATCAAGAAGGATGTTGGAAGTCTTGAAGTCGCGGTATATCACTCGAGTCTCGGCACTGTGGAGAAAGGCAAGGCCTTTTGCCGCCCCAAGAGCCACTTTCAACCGGAGATTCCAAGACAAGGGTTGGAAATACGACCCCCCTGAAACCGAAATCAATTCGAATGTTGCGAATATTAAACAAAGGTTTTAGCTTTGACAGCATCTGGGGATTAACGAAGACGAAGAACATACTCCTGAAAAGATGATTCTCCAAGCTTCCCCGAGGCATGAACTCGTAGACAAGAAGCCGATGCTCGTCCTCCAAGCAATAACCGATCAACTTCATGAGATGACGATGAGAAAACTGCCCAAGGTAATTCACTTCGGCCTGCAACAACGATGGAACAGAAACCCTTTTCAGACGATCCACAGGCAAAGCTAATACAGCAAGAAGTAAACAAGAACTAGCTTTTAGCTTACCAGCCACTCCTTGTGACCTTGCCAACCATCTTGGTTAAGCCTTTTGACGGCTATAACCATACCGGTGCCTGGTTTCGTGGCGGTGAGAGCCACCTCATCAATCCATCCCTTGAAAACACAACCGAAGCCACCTTCACCAAGCACGCTGTCTGGTCTGAAATTCCGTGTTGCGGTTTTGAGATCGGAAAAGCCGAAACTCTTGAGGTTTGGTGACTGCAGGATCTCGCCCTCTGTCCGTGGAGTCGGCCGAACTGACATGGAAGAAGACTTGCTGCCTAAACTTCCCTTGTCGTTCCCATCCGAGCTCATGTACTTAGGACTTCCTCCTACACACCCACCGAAACAAACGTTAAGTTTCACATTTTTTTCCCCCAATAAGCATTTGCCTATAAATGGTTTGAAAGGATCTCAATAGCTTGTCTGAATCAGAAATCTCTGCATTATCATGCCCTTTGGCCTATATGTTCTGAAAACAAAAGCCGTGAATTGATTCAACGAGAAAGAGGACAACTTTCGGAAATATTAGTAATGTGCATAGATTTGTCGAAAAACATTTGCCTAACTGAGAGGCTAATGCCGTTACATTCCAACCACCAAAAACCTAACCTCCAATGGAAATATCAGAGATTTTCAGACAGAGAAACAAGTTTTAGCTTTCCAAAGTTCAAACAGGATCTTGTCGTGATGGAGCAGAGGGGAAAGATCCCACAACTCAAAAACCAGACATATCAAGACCCAAGAAGAAAACAAGACAAAGCGAAGAACAGTATCCACGCTGAAACCAGAAAGTTTCTATTTTTTATAATCCAAATTCGAGAATTTGATCAGTTAGCAAAAGAGATTATGAAAAAAAAGCATGAAACTTTGAAGTACCTGTCTTACCTGGACTCTCAGCTTTGACCCGGGCACTCATGCAAATCCCCATGGATGACCCTCGACGAACTTCAGATACAACCAAAGCTCTGCACACCTCTTTCCTATATTTCAGAAACATTGAATACAATAACCAAGACTTTATATCAATGTAAAAGCGAGACAGAAACAGATCCACTTGTCGGGAAAAAAAAGGGAAAAACAAAAGATTTACAACTTTTATCCGAAATGCATGCATGATCAAATCAATCAACTTTTCTGGTGGCAAAACAAATATAAAGCAAAAAAAAAAAAAAAAAAGAAGCAAGACTCCCACCAACTAGCAAACGAAGAAGTAATTCTTCACGGCCCCCCTTCTTTTTGTTTTAACCTTTTCACCCAGAAACAGAAGAGATAGAGAGAGAGAGGCCGGGAGATGGCATTAATGGCGTACGGTCCCACCTTAAAGCCCATCTCTCTCTCTTAAAATAATTTTAATTTATTTTCGCTGTTAATTAGTTTTGTCATCGTCATCGATCTTTCTTTCCCGAAAATCAAAATTCTTTCTTTCTTTTTTTTAATTAAGTTTCTTTTTTGGGTAGGAAGAAGAGAAGATGACGTCAGAAAGGATGAGTCTCCACTCGGGCGTTAAGTCGTTCTCGGCCATTAGATTCTCCCTTATTTTGTACTCCTCGATGCACAAAAAAATGGTATATATATATATATATATATATATATATATATGTTATATGATCGAACTATCCTTTAAATGTACACCTTTAAAAAAAAACCCGTCGTAACTCGATATTGAAATTACTAAATTATACGACGTATGCCATTTTTCAAGATTAGAATATCAATATCGGGGTTGCGATATTCACATTGTCCTTATATTTCAAATATAAATATGTTTCATTTTTTTTTTGTAACGATAAATATGATTCATTGACTTAGAACATTCATAAAATCGTGGCTCTAATATGAAACGGAGAAGTGGAAAACATAATTTTCTTTCGTTTGCTTTAGCTTCTTTCACGTGACAGCAATTTCCTTTGCTTCACGTGTTTATTGATATTATGTATCAATTGCATTTTTATAAAATATTTGATTTTTTTTTTTCGGTGGGATTTTAGGAAGATGCATGCATTCCATTCACGTGAAAATCTTCAATTTGCGTGTATTTTCGAGGATACCATGCATACTAAATATGAATCATCTTGAAAAAATTTTAATGATACATTGGAATAATGGATTTTTTTTCTTTTTTTATTATAATTCCGCATTTTATTCACTTGTAGTTATAATTAGAATCATATCCGAACCGTTTAAAAGTAAATAGTTAGTTTTTTTTGGAAGTGTTGAAGTTTCAACCGTTGCGAGTTCCCAATGTTTTTGTGATCGATGTGTTTTCAACACTTAAAAAATGATATTTTTTTTTAAATTTTTTTGTCGTGGCTTGTTGAAGTCAACAAAGAAAAACGAAAGAGAATGCAAATTGCAAGGTGTAAAAAACGCAAATTGCAAAAAAAAAAAAAAAAAAAAAAACCCATGTGGATAATGGTTTTAAAAATTAAATGAATCCAATTTGCACAAAAATGGTATATTTTAAGATTCATATATTTCAAAATCTGGAATCAAATAATGCCCGTGACACGATCTTCCCACCCAACTAAATATCCCTTTTCTTGTAATGTTTCCTTAGTTACAAACTTACAAGTTCTGCCTCTAGTTTCACATTTGATTATGACGTCATGGTCATATTTCTGGGCATGCATATTTAATGACAAAGATAAAACTTTTAAACGAATATCGTTCTCTAAATTATTACTTATTTATTGTGGTTTTGAATCATACAAGACATATAATGTTGCAGATACCGGAAAATTTTTAGTCACAACTCACGGGACCTATCCAATATAAGAGCAACAAATGGTATAATACAACTCATTATATCCCAATGAAAATATAAAACAAAAACAAAAAATACTTATTCTTATAATTCTTAGTCACATAAAAGTTTTCAAAACTTGAATCGCGAACTAAAATACCAGAAAACTAAAAGAGATTGAAAGTGACTCATGGATTTCATGTATATAATTAATTATTTTACATGTCGTATTATGAACCATTACAATGACTGCGTATTTAGGGGTAGTTTTTTCTTTCTAAAAATGTTTTTGGCTCAACATCTCCTAGCTTTAAATTTAATTATAAGTTGGACGTTTCAAGAATCGGTTCGGGTTCAGGACGATAATATATCGGTTTTATAAAAATAGATACCACTCGATTTTTATATTATATCGATTCGGTTTGTCTTGGTTCTGGTTTTTTTTTAAAGATAGATTTTCTTTAAAATTGTACAATTTTTCGGGATTTTTAGAATTTAGTTCGGTTCAATTTTGGTTCTAAAAAATTCGGTTTTCTAAAAATAATACCGTTCAGAAATTTAAAATGATGCGAATTGAAAAAAATACTATATTTTTCGATTCGATTCAATTATGAAGAAACGAACAGAAACTTCCACACTTAATTATAACGGACACATATCCGGAGGGTGTAAACGCGATTGCCCGACCGTTTGTTTGACTTGTGCTTTCGAACGGCCTTCTGGGACCCACATAAACAGGTGTCCGCACAACGCTTGTTTGACACGTGGCACATCTTAATGTTTATGGAAAATAAAAATTGAACGTTCTCTTAAACAATTCAGGAACCCATTTAATGACATTGTTTGGCACTAAAAATATTATTCGAATACATTAATATTTGAAAGCAATAACTATTTCCAACAAAACAGTGAAACAATATTTTAGGGGTTTAAATGGAAGAATCTCAGAAGTATTGGGGCAAACCTGCAAAAAGGAAAAAACTAAAGGCGGTTTCCTTTTTTTTACATTGCAGAAATTAGTGCACAAATGTCCGGATGCTGGGTCTCTCTCTCTCTCTCTCTGGACAGAATCGGAGAGGACTTCGTCTCTCTCGCTCTTCTTTTTCCATCGGCACAGGATACTCCTCCGTTAGGGTTATTCTGTCAGACCTGGTAAATGTTTCTTCCGTTTCTGTTTTTAATCAATCGGCTGCAGTCGTAATTGGAACCCTAGAACGTTGTATGTCAACCAGCGAATTTGTATATGGGTTTTGATGATCTTGGGTTGAAATTTCCCTCGCTTTATGTTTAGTTGGGAATTCGATTGGATTAATTTGGGGATAATTCCGAGTTGGTAGAATCTATTGCTTACTTTCTTTCAGATTATGACATTTTAGGGTTTCGTTTACAGGTTATAAAAAGGAGAGATTTTAGGGTTTCGAGAAGATGCCGGCCACAGCAGGGAGGGTTCGTATGCCTGCAAACAACCGGGTCCATAGCAGTGCAGCTTTGCAGACCCACGGTATATGGCAGAGTGCGATTGGATATGATCCTTACGCGCCCACCAACAAAGATGAACCGAAGAACACCCAGCAGAAATCCGCAGATCCTGAGAACGCATATGCAAGCTTTCAGGGTCTGTTGGCGCTAGCCCGTATAACTGGCTCGAACAATGACGAGGCTCGTGGTGCTTGTAAGAAGTGTGGCCGTGTTGGGCACTTGACTTTTCAGTGTAGGAACTTTCTGAGTGTTAAGGAGGATAAGGAGAAAGACCCTGCAGAGATTGAGGCTGCAGTTATGTCAGGGTTGGAGAAAATCAAGAGCAGTGTTGGCAAGGGTGGGGCCAAGGCTGACGAGAGTAGCGAAGAGGAGGAAGAGGACAGCGAGAGTTCTGATTCCGAGGTTGATTCAGAGATTGAGAAAATTATAGCGGAGAGGTATGGGAAGAAGGGGAGTGGCAAGAAGCAATCATCGACGAGGAAGAAAGACATGGATTCTGATTCATCAGATGAATCTGATTCTGATTCAGGAGATAGGGAGAGGAGGCGGAGATCGAAGAAGAGGAAGGCTCACAAGAGGGGAAGTACTAGGGATTCAGATGATGAGGATGAAAATAAGAGTAAGAGAAGAAAGGACAGGAGAAGAAGAAAGAGGGAGGATGATGAGTCTTCGGACAAGGATGCTGATAGAAGGCGGCATGGGAGAAAGAGTAGGAGGGAGAAGAGTAGAAGGAGAAGCCGACATAACTATTCAGATGAATCTGATTCAGAAGTCTCGGTGGACACTGACGATAGACGACAAAAGCGGAGGAGCAAGGTGGCAGCTTCTTCTGATTCCGATGGCAGTTTCTCTGGCGGCGATGGCCCACGTGCTGGAAGGGGTTCTTCTAAGCGGTCTGAGAAGAAATGCAGGAAGCGCCACCACAGAGATTACGAGTAGAGAGATCTGTCGGAAGCAAGACCCCTCGTTTCTCTGGCGGTGATGTCCAGGCCTCGAACTCGTTTGTATCGTTTCGTTAATAAATAAATAAAAAAAACCAAAAGCTTCAAGCTTGTGAATAATGTGATGCTGAATTTGTGTTTATCGTCAGTGTTTTCAACCCTTTGCTGGAACGCATGAAAGGTGCTTACTTTTTTTTTCCAAGTCGTGATAGTTTCTGTGAGTTTAAATATGTCTTCAACGTATCAGGAAGTCATTGTTAATTGTGTATTCGATTTTTCCGGAATCAAAGTTTTGAATTTGCTTAATTTTGATTCGAAAAAATACAATATTTTTCTTTACCAACATGTATAAGCGTTATCATGTCTGTACAAAGCGATTGGATTCAAAGCTCTGCAACCCAAATCATCAATCAACGCATAGGAGGAAAGATCTGAGAATAAGGGGAAGCGACCATCTCTTGAATGTACCTCTTGGGATTGGTCGGATCAAGCTTCCAATGGATCTCGCTCATGTTTGGAGTTTCAACAAACACCATCGCAAACTCTCCTGTCTTCTCCATCTTCCCTCTCTTCCCGGCTCTGAGAACGAGTCCATGGTTTCGGACATAAGAGAATATACCACTGGTTAGCCTCACTATGTCCCCTGGCTCGAAGGCTTCGCACTCGTTGCCCCACAACTGCGTGTGAACCGCTGCTGTCTGGTCTGCCGCCAGGACCAAACATGTCTTCCCGTTTGGTCCAGGACTCGGTTTGCCCTTTTCGAGGATGATGAAAGCCGTGTTTATGTTGTTCTGAGCCGCTGGGACTATGTCCTTTAGCAAAACCTGCATCTCCTGCAAAATCCCTAATATTGAATCAGATTGAATTCAAATGGAACATTCGATTCTTCGCATCGGATTCACAGAACTCAACGGATGTTACGAGAACGAGCATGTGAAGGGTTGAATGGAACCGATCGCCCACAGAGATCTTTACAAGATCAGTCGAGACTTCCCCTCCAACTGTGGATTCAGAACAACGAAAGGGGCAGATCACGAAGATCCATTACAAGCATATCAGGGGAAAAAACATAGGCACCTGAATACGTAACCCACTCAAGCAAACATATAGAAGCAAAGACCATTAGAGAATGAATAGTACGGCAGACACCAAAGTTCATATTTTTCAAACATATCAAGTAAGGCTGAAACTATACACAAAGGTGAATCGCGAATATAAATTCCAGATCTAAACTAGTAGAGCTAATTCAAATCACAATAACAACTAGCTAGCACAATAACAGTACCGCGTTTTGGGTTCTTGCATTGGGAGATAATTCTACAGAAGTTGCCAACAAAGGACCGCTTGGCAAGTTGGGGACTCAGAACGGAGACACAATGTGTCCTCTGCGAAATGGCAGAGGAAACCCATACCCACCTGTTCTACAATGTCATAGTTGGTTAACTGAGCGAGCCAAGGATGGAAGCCGACACAGACGGATGAACTCAAAGTTGCTGCTGCAATCCACCCTTTATCAGGTGTGGAAAGAACGAAATAACCGGATTTTTAACGGAAAGAAACGGACCGAAATGGAGATTATCAAGCAAATCGACCGCACCATGAGGGACACTCTCATCTCCATTGACAGGGGTGAAAAACAGCAAGACAAAAGCTGCCTTGAAGATTGGTTTTATCTGACAGAGAGCATCCGTTAGCAACCATTAGCGATAACAAATATTACTGTAACAGCTATTGAGCTGATTTAGCTACCACTTGGCATGGGTGTCCTACTTTTGCGGAATCAAGAGGCTGACATGTACAACAAACGGTTCTTTTGATCTATACATTAACATTTTACACCAAAAAAAAACTAGCGAGCACACAAGACGAAATGCAAATTCAAATAGAAGCAGAAAAAACCAGAATCGAGCGAACAAACAATCACCATAATCCAATTACCAAATCGAACAAGGCGAGCAAGTTAATCTGAAGGACGAACACACAAACTAGGGTTTCCAATCAGGAGCTCACTTCCCAGACGGCCCACAAACCCGAACCAAAGCTAGGGTTTTTACAAGAAATTCCACGAATTCGAGCCCAACCCAGATGAAATATGTGCCTATTTCGTTCAAACATTTAGTCGAACATATTGCATGCGCCACTAAAGACCAAAACCCATATACCTAAGAACAAAATCCTGAATTATAAAATATAATTGAAGCCAACAATTGTATGATTCCACTATCTCACAGAAAAATCATATCTTAAATTCAAGAACAAACACTAAATCAGAAAGTAGAAAGACAACAGCCGCGGCAAAAATACGAACAAAATCTATACCTCATAAATTAACAGACTGCTTATAAGCGAAATTGAACAGAATAACATGTCAAAGTTTAGATTTACCTTTTCGAAAATGAAAATGAAAATGCAGATGAAACTCGACAAGAATCGCAACTTATCAAAGGAAGAATCTGGATCACTTTGTTGGTGATTTGGAAAAAAAGGAAAAAACGTTGTTTGAGAGGTTAGAGAATTAGGGTTTGTAGAAGTTGGATTTTCAGAATTAAAATAAAATGATTATTGTATGGTGGGTTAATTGGGCTAATTAGGCTAATTTTGTAAGCCCATGGTTTTAATGGGTTAAGTCCATTAAACCCATTAAATAAAAATGACCAAATAATTGTTCTAAATATAATTATTGGGTTGGGTTTAGTGGATAAACCCAACCCAATTTCACATCACTAAGCATAAGCACGTTTTAGAGTTGCCTATAAGATCATCAGGAACGGTTCGGATAGCATCGACTAACATCACCGAAAACATTGTTAAAATACTTTTACGAGAGGGTTTTATCGAAAACGTAAGGAAACATCGAAAAAACAACCAATATTTTTTTATTAGAGAGAAAATGACATTTTCGACTCTGTAAGATGTGACCTTTTCATACACGAATTTTTAATTTGATAAAAGACTACACCAAATTATCAAATGTGCCAAATTGATACACGAACTATCCAATTTAACTGCAATTTCCTACACAATACGAAAACGGTGTTAAGTGTCCGTTAAATGCTGATGTGGTACGCCACGTGGCGGCTGACGTGGTACGCCACGTGGCGGCTGACGTGGCACGCCACATAGATTTTTTGCCACATTAGCATGCCACGTCGGATTTTTAAAAAAATTCCGAAAAAATATGAAAAAAAAATCGATTTAAAAAAAAATAAAAGTAAAATAAATAAACAGCAAAATATATATATACATATATATTCATATCTATATACAAATAAAAATATAAATATATATACAAAATAAAAAAACATACACATATATATACAAACATCTATACAAATATATATACATATACATATAAACAAATATATTTATATATACATATACATATATATGTATATATATACATATGCATATACATACATACATATATACAAAATAAAAAAAATCATATATATATATATTCATATCCACATATAAATACAAATATAAATATAAATACTTCTATGTATATATATTTCTATATATATCAAATAAAAATATACACATATATACATGCATTTATACAAATATATATGCATATACATACATACAAGTATATTTATATATATACATATATAAAAAATAAAAAGCAAAAAAATACACATACATATACATATATATTCATATCTATATACAAATACAAATATAAACATATATACTCCTACATATATACATATATATTTTTTATTATGTATATATATGTATGTATGTATGTATGTATATGTATATATATACATATATATGTATTTATATATGTATATGTATATATAAATATATTTGTTTGTATGTATATGTATATATATTTGTATATATATATGTGTATGTTTTTTTATTTTGTATATATATTTATATTTTTATTTGTATATAGATATGAATATATATGTATATATATATTTTGCTGTTTATTTATTTTATTTTTAATTTTTTTTAAAATTTCGATTTTTTTCATATTTTTTGGATTTTTTTTAAAAAAATCCGGCGTGTCATGCTGATGTGGCAAAAAATCTATGTTGCGTGCCACGTCAACTGCTACGTGGCGTGCCACGTCAGCGGTTAACGGACACTGCACCGTTTTCAGATTGTGTAGAAAATTGCAATTAAATTGGGTAATTTGTGTATCAATTTGACAAATTTGATAATTTGGTGTAGTTTTTTGTCAAATTAAAAATTCGTGTAAGAAAAGGTCACATTTTACAAAGTATGTGTAGAAAAATGTCATTTTCCTTTAATTAAATACGAAAAAAATATCACACACCCGAAACTTAGATGTGACCTAAATAGTACAATGAAGTGATTTGAATATTATATATATATATATATATATATATATATAGGAAAAGAGAATCATATGGAATGGACTCTACTTGTTTACATACATATACATGAACAAGGGAGGCCCATTAGCTTATGAGGCGGAGGTATTGGGCCTTGGCCCAAAATTCATATTTGAACTTTTTTATATTTATAAAAAATAATTTAAAAACAACTGGGCGGGTTTTTCTAGGGTTTTATTCCTGTTTTCGTAGCTCGGCGAAGAAGATGATGGTGTACGAAGTGTTGAGAGAGATTCTCAAGATCCAGAAGTCTCGAAGGATCGTATCTTACGCTGGATTCTACTGCTTCACTGCTGCTTTGACTTTCTTCTATACCAACAACACGTATCTTCTCTCCCATCCATTTCTTCTCATCTCCATTTTTCTTTTACGAAAAATTGCAATTTCACTTATGATTTGTCGTCTCTCTGATTTCGCATGTTTTTCTTGTCCAAATTCATCTCGCTTTGATGGGGTTAATGGATTCGGATGTGGCAGAACAAGAGCAGGATTTTCGAGAGCGGATCAGTTTTATGCATCTTACCCAGCCGGCACAGAGCTTCTTACAGACACTGCCAAGGTAATGTTCTCTTCAGCTAGCTTGGATTATTGGATTATGATATAGTAAGGGATTTGATGTTGTAAAATGCAAACTCCTGAAATGGGTATGGTTGTGGGGGTGGATAGCTGTACAAAGCGGCGCTTGGGAATTGCTTTGAATCGGAGGAATGGGGTCCGATCGAGTTCTCCATAATGGCTAAGCATTTTGAGCGTCAGGGGAAATCACCTTACGCTTACCACTCTGTAAGTTTCTTTATCAGTCTCTTCTCTCTCTTTTTTTTTTGCAAATTTTGTGTCTATTTCCATCCAAATGATACCCAATTCCTTGTACCAAAAAAAGGCAGGAAAACTCAGGGAATTAGCAGTTATACACAGTCATTGTATGTAGCAGAGTCTATACTCCGGATGAACTAGGGAGAAAAAAAGTAGAAAGATGCGAAATTTATGGGTTGGAATCCTATTCCGGTGCCCTCAAGCCGTGTATGCTTTGATAATGGAGTATGTATTCTTCATCTTGGTTGGTTGTTTATGTGGTAAAATCCTTGTGCCTTTAGGCCCTTTACCATGTTTCTTCTTGTTCTGGACTAAGACTAACCTTTTCTCCTTTTGAAATGTGGTAGCAGCAGCAATACATGGCTCATCTTCTTTCTCTCGGACAACTTGATGGAAGTGGCTAAGCTTGGCACATATACGCATGTATATATATGAGCGAGACTCATTGGAAGCTTGATCCGACCAATCCGAAAAGGTACATTCAAGACATGGTTGCTTCCCCTTGTTCCCAGATCTTTCCTCCTATGCATTGATTTATGATTTGGGTTGCAGAGCTTTAGAGCCAATCACTTTGTATAGATATGGAGTCACTTGTAACGATTATGTTGAGTTTCTTCTCCCTGTTATGGGTTGTAGGAATCGAATCCGATATACCTAAGCAACTTCTCCATGATCAATCAAATCACACTGTCACTACTTGAATTGGATCCAGGGTTGTGCTTGCTTAAGAGAAGTTTTGAGATTTAGGTCTGCCGTCTGTGTTCTTCAAAGTGTCTTTGTTCATGAATCCATGCCTTGCTATTTCTGAAAGCTGTTGTTTTTGTTTGAATTTGTTTTCGAGTTAACTAATGTGTTCGATCCATGGGCTTGAATCTAGAAGGCCCAGATGCTCCAAACATCCAATCGTGTATATGTGTATGATTATTTATCATGGTTAAATTAAAAAATATATAAAATTTATGATTCCACAGCACTCACAAAAGTCAAACAACACCAAATCTTAAGTTTTTTTCTTCAGATTTTACAACTCAAATATAAAAAGTTACAAAATCATACACGAACATTACCCACACAGATTTGACAATGCAAATTAAGCAGCAGAAATACAAACCAAAAGGCAAAGTTATCAAATCATGCAACTTATGCCCATTGCTTTATTCAAAAACACATATTCAGAGACATTACTTCCATCTTCATTCTTCATATATATATACATATATATATATATATAGAAGATGTTTGGAGATTCATCGTGACTCAGCATTTGCAGCCAGAACCGCAGCTGCAGTTTGATCCACAACTGCAGTTGTCGCACTCATTCTTGTTGTTGTTCCTCTCGCAGCTTCGTATTTCACATACACATTTAAATTATTTCATTCATTATTATACATTAAATATATGTATTAAATTCTTTCAAATTATCTATCCAACTAAAAGTGGTCTCCGACTCAATTATGCAGGAAAAATATCTCAAAAAACCCAATATTTTTTAGTTATTTTATGTATATGATTTCATGTAGTACTTAAACATATCTTGCAAATTCGAGTTTCTTAATTATATGTGTATATATATATATATATATAAACGTGTGTATATATATGAACTTGATGACTTACTTGCAAGAGTCGCCGCAGCTGCAGTTGGAGCCACATCCACAGTTAGAGCCTGCCATTGTTTTCTCTTCTTTCAATTATCTCTTCTTCTTCTTTTTCTTCTTTGCTTGCTGATGCTTTTGTATGTGGCAACGGCTGGCTATTTATAATGGAGGAGAACAAGATTTTGTGTTGTATCAGCCGTACACGTGGCAGAATCTTACACGCCCATATTATTTTTGTTCCAAAGAATATTAAAGTAAGGATTTACTTCGTCAGATTAGACGAGTTGGGGTTATGATATTCTCATCATCATGGAAACCTCCAATCCAATGGATAATAATATTTTTTCCATTTAGGGTATATTTTACTCTGATTCGCTCGCAGTTCATACCGTATTTATAATATAATATTATACCGTTGAAGTTACAACAAATACATATTGATTTAGAGATTGATATTAATTTTTCAGATACTGAAAAATCTAGTGTTTTGACAGAGACAGAAAATATAACGAAGCTAAAATAATTTTTTTTATTATTATATTTACTTTCGAAAAAAATAAATTTAACAAAAAATGATAGTCTTTCAGTAACCGAATGATTTAAAAGTTTCAATAAGTCAAATTGATACACAAAAGTCTAAGTTTCTACATAGAATAAAAAGATCGATATTTACCTGCTACCCGCAACAGATTTTTTTTAAAAAAAAGGCATGAAGCATGCCGCTTTAATACATACACATACACATGCATTTATATATATAAGTCAACTCACAATAAAAAATTATCTATATTAAGCGACAAGTATAATGTATATCTTCTTTGTATTATATTATGCCGTACGAATATATTATAAGGAATATGAATATTTCTATTTTTGAGACGGTCATATGACGATGCGCCGAGGGTTTATGTTTTTCCACTAATTAATATATGTAGTTGCGTGGTATTGTTTTTTCAAATAAATAATATATATATATATATATAGGTTGCGTGGAATAATGTAGAGGGGGGAGGTGGGCTCAAATGGTCCTTGGCCTTTCAAGATGGGGAAATTGCATTTTCTTGGCCCTTTTTCGCAATTATTTGTGACCTTTCCGTTATGGAAAACTCGAAGAAGGAAACAAAAATAGATTATTTTATTTAACGGTCGTATTTTGGGTATAATGTCAGAAACTAGAACTGATATTTTATTTTGGTCGGATGAACTTCAAGAGATGGATTTTGTATCTGTTGTAATACAAAACTCGAACTTCATGTCTCTTTCTACATCACAAGACAATGAAACGTCGAATTCCATGACAATGTTTCAGTCTACTTCCTCCGGTAAAATATTCCACCAATTAGTCGCCGGAAAGTTACCGGAAAATCTCAGGGACCAAACTCATGGCAACAAACAAGAAACAGAACTAGTCAGCACAGATATTCTCCAGCCGTAATCTATCCGAATCATCACCGCCATTCACCAGCATCTTCAGACCATCTTTAAGCTCTTCTACACCTTCTCCTAAAACCGCACAAACCGGAAAGATCGAAACTCCATGAACCCTTCTCTCTAGTTCTTCCAATCTTTGATCCGAGCCCGACTCATCGATCTTATTCGCGACGATCAAGGAAGGTCGATCTGATAAACCCTCTTGATGAAACTCAAGTTCCATCACCAGATCCTTCAGTTGTCTCCACGGCATGATCCCTTTCCGGCCATCAAGTCCGGATGCCAAGTCCACTACGTATGCAAGAACCTTGGTGCGTTCGATGTGTCGGAGAAAGTTGTGGCCTAATCCACGGTTCTGATGAGCACCCTTTATGAGACCTGGAATATCAGCAACTGTGATGGAGAAATCTTCGAAGTTTACATTACCTAAGTTGGGCCGTAGTGTCGTGAACGCGTAATGTCCTACACGGGGTTTAGCCCTGGATAATGCCCCGAGAAGGGTGCTCTTCCCTGCGTTTGGCATACCGACGAGGCCAACATCAGCTATGCTCTTCAGTTCGAGTATCAGAACGGATTCGGAACCCGGTAAACCAGACCTCAGACTCAAGTTTTCGTCATCAGATGCAGCTTCATCATTTATGCTCGAGAGATTATTTTGATGGATCACGGGTTTCGCAGATTTGCTGCTTTTCCAAACGTTTGTTGCGCAAATACTTCCCAAACCACCTTCACCGCCGCGAGCAACGATTATTCTCTGACCTTGGTGTCTTAATTCAGCAACATTATACATGATTTGATCCATGTCATCTTCTCCATCACCTTCGGTAACCTTTTGAGCACTTACTGGACTACGTAAATCCTCTTTCGCTGTAGCAACATGATCGGTTTTGGGAATAGTTTCATGATGAATGTCGTCAGGGTTCTCAGCTGCGGGATCTCCGGCCAGACTCCCAGGAAGCTCCCATGGATCCAAATCTTTCGACGTGTCCTCTTCAACATGCGATGTGATTTCACCTTTCACAAGATGAATCACAGTCCCGACTGGTACTTGCACAATCTGTGAAAAAAAGGGGACAAAATCTCAGTATGCAGAATAATAGTATAGATATTCGAAAATGGTAATCAAACAAGAAAAAGTAGCAGCAGCATAATCAGAGATTCAAACAGAAAAGCTAAAGATGAACAATCGATTAGAACCTTGTCTTCTCCCCTGGTCCCTATCCTGTTCTTGGAAGATCCTGGACCGCCTTTTCCAGATTTCTGCGGAACTCAACTCACAAAAGATTTGCCGATTTCGGTATCAGAAAGACAAATCTATGAAGCATCTTTTCCAGAGGGAGAAATTATACGTACAACATGAGGTTGAAGCCCGCTGAAATCCCAAATGGCGTGTGTGCTCTCTAGAATTACGTCACCTCCTCTCCCACCATTACCACCTTAACAAAGTACAAACAGAGAAACACAAACACAAGAAACAACATTCAAAGCCCATGATTTTGATTCATCATCAAAAAGGGTGAATTTAACTTGTCTAAGTGTAATCATTATCAATCTATCAACAGAACGGGCTCAGACATTTCAAGCAACAATTCAATATTACTTCAGGAAACAACGATGCAGCCATTGAACATACGTTTGATGTTTTGTTCGAACCGATAATTGCAGATAATACCATGGAACAGTACCATCAGGTCTTCCACGGCGATCAGTGCGGCTTCGACGGATACTGGAACAGCCTCCGCCGCCGTCACCGCCCTTGGCGTACAGTGTAAATCTGTCTCTCATTCTTGTCTCCTGAAGAACACAGACAGGGGGGAGTACACCAAACTCAGTCCAAAGCACACGACACAGAGAAGCATATAGTTCACAAAAATAAAGAACGATGGAATTCACCTGTAGCGGCGCAACCTTCGCCTTCTTCTCCGTAGAATCTGAGTAGAACACCATGGAAGACGTCATCCATGGCGGATTCCGAATTCTTCGCAAAGTTTCCAAACATCGTACGGAAACAGACGCGCGGTT